GCCTAACAATGCAATAATAGTTTTGAGGGTTTTTTACATATGAACATCAGTTAGCACTGACTTTTAAACTCACATTTTCCACAGCACCTGAAGTTTGGTCCCCTTGAAAATACATACTTTGGATGTAAATATATCCTGAAATACTGCTTACCTTACTTTTAAGAGTAGCTTCACTGTGCCTCAACAGGTTGTTTGTGCAGGTGATATCACCAGAATTCATCTCAAAAGACAGGGGCAACATGCTGTAACATGATAAACATCCTCAGTGCATTCAAAGGGCTTTGCAAATACCGGCATTGGGACCTTTTAGATTTTGGATTATAGCTTTTAAGGTTAATAACTTACACAGTAATACAAAATACTATTGTACTGGCATATCTGGACAAGAAAAAAAAAAGAAAAAACACAGCTGTTGTGGGAATTAGAATTAGGAGTGTTCTACTTATTTTGTGTACAAAACTTAACTCACAATAAGGCAACTGTTGATCCTCTGGATCATGGTGTTCACGTAAGAGGTTTAGTCAGGTGCCTGATATAGTCACTTGTGGCTGACAAGCCCAATTCAAGAGTGACACAGTTTGTTACAAGTTTCACAGATCCATGTGTTGTCTGAGTTAGAGTCCCCCTTTACAGCTTGCTGCTACCTTCTTTGTCACTTTGCTGCTATCCTCTGGATCAAACTTGCTTCATGTTGAGCTGTACCCAGTGCCAGTTGTTCCCTATAGATTGTATGGGATTCTGCGCACTCTTCCGAACTTTCTACCTTGATGTTGGATGACCTCATATAATTTTTGCACATGTTATAGTACTGCCATAAAGGCCAAACCTGCTTTCTAGAATCGTCTCGAATCTCACTGTACAAAATATTCTTGGGGATATGATCTCCTCTCATTCTACTGACACGGCCAATCCAACTAAACAATATTTTATGTAAATAAACAGTTTTGCACCTAATTTAACTTAACATGAATTATCTTCTTTAGATATCTCCCTTGGGTTAGCTCATATAAAAAAGTGATATCTAGATTTTGTCAATGTTGTACATGTCTCGTGTAAGTCAGTCATTCTAATGGACCCATTAAGAGCTTGGAAAATCTGAAGGAGCTGTAGACCTGATACAAGGTCAGTAAAAAAGTCGCTGGGTTCCCTCTCAGTATCTCATACTTCTGCCTCAGAAAGGAGCCAAGAAAGTCTATGCAACTACTGTTAAAAAAAATAGTAGAAGATTTTTATTTAAGCCATATTTATCTTATTTATTACAAGCACCAAAGGTAAGCTAACTCCAAAGAGTACAACGAGCTAATGTGAAACATTTAAACTGGCAAGAGCAAGGAAATTTAGGTCCAACAATTGCACTCTGTTTTTTAAACTCACCATGATGCCTAGTTATTACCAAATAAAATATCATTTGTTGTGCCATTAACCTTGCAAGCTCCTACTCAATACTGCCCACGAACCTCCCA